TCTTCAAGGGTGACTTGTTTCCTTCTCTTGTGTCTTTAAAATTTTTCCTTGTCATGTCTATGTCTTCTTACATGTCTTGATGTTATCTTTGATGTTTTCTTCTCAAATATTGCTTGAAATATTGTGTTCTTGTTGAGTGGTTCATTACTTGTTCATGAGCCTCCTTGTTCTCCTTTAGGATTCTCTTAAAATAGGTTCTTTTGTGCTTTTCTCTATTTTGTCTTGGCTGGACATTTTTGTTTCAAGAACATGATGAACATGTTGAACACTACATGAACTCTATTTTGATCTTTTCTCATCCAAGTTTTGTCAAAGTTATGTTTCCCTCTCTTTTTCTTTCTCCTTAAAATTCAAAATCTATGCATGACACACCTTGGTTTGCATGAAACATGAAAAATGATGCATGACACCTCTTTCCTTGTGGCTGGCTGAACCATATATGTCCATCTTAGAAGTCAATCTTGCATGATAATTAGTCCTTAACATGCTCCAAGATTTTTTGAGTTTCTATGTGTAACTTGTATCTTGCACATTTATGGTTAGCCACTCTTGCATGCCACCATCACCCCTTGTCTTGTTGCCCATTTTATGAGTCAACCAAGTGAGATGTAAGTCTGAAATATTGCTGAACATACTGCAAAAATCTGCACCTAACAAGAAGACAAAAGTACCAAAGACACTTCACCCAAAACTTGCCATTTACATGCTACTAGTCCTTTTTGTCCCCTTCCTTTTTTTGTGTAACCTTGTAAACCACCACAAGTGTAAAAACCAAGCAACATAATAAGAAAAATAGTATAAAAATCTGATCCCATGGGCTGGCCAAAAAGCTGGTACGAAAATTGAATGGAAAAGAAAAGAGAAGAAAAAAAAATTAAAAGGAATTGTTGCTAAACTTGTGGACTTAGACCTTTTTACCCTACACATTTGGACTTGGACTTGGACTATCTTTGGACCTATTTGAGACCAAAATCTTGCCTGAACTTGGACAAATACCTTGGCTAGACTTGGGAGGATGGACATGAAACTATAAAGACAATAAATACTAAACACTTAATTCTACTCTAGAACCATTCTAGGATTTCCTTTGAGTGCTTTCCTTTTTAAATGTGACTTAATTTTTGCTTGTCTTTCTTGGAATTCTTTGAGTTTTGTCTCATCAATATTCCCTTTGAGTTTATCATTTCTAATTGAGCATTTTTAGTTGACTTGGACTATCTTTGGACCTATTTGAGACCAA